GGGGCACTTTAGTTAGAATATGGATATATCCAGCACCAGGGCACAAGCACCCGGTCCCATGTTACTGCCCAGCAGCTGGCCGGAGTGTCTTACAGCAACACCCCGTGGCCCCAGGAGCACCCCGCTAGCGGGAGTGGAGGCGGGTACTGGCAGTTCTGTTGTCCGTGGTATTCGGAGCGCTCTGGGTGCCAAGACCCCCGCCCGGGTTACTAGCCCTGCCTCCTCCTTTTCCTTCTCTCGGCCCAAGCCTCCTTACCCGTTCGGCGGCAGTCCACACGGTGGCTGTTTTACCCGCCCGGCCCAGCAGCTGCCGGCGAAGGGGCGGGGGCAGCGCCGTGACGTTGAGTCGGAGTAAAGGACCACTCTCGCCCCTCGGCTCACCCCTCCGCAATTGGCGGGCTGCAGGCCACCTCCCAGCTGCTGTGCCCGCCTCCCGGAGGCTGATGCTGGCGCGGCGCCCCCTGGGCTCCGAGCTAGGAGCGATGTTTTTGTCTCCACCTCCCGCTAGAGGACGAATGGGACCCTCACGACGTCCGGAACCCAGGCAGTGGAAGGTGACAAAGACTCCAATGGTTGGGCCAAGAGATGCCTCCGCCCCGGCAGAGACACAAGGTGCTTTCACTAGAGACCTCGGGATCCAGCTGGCTTTTCTCCCGGTGGTGAGCTCGGCCTCTACCCTGTTTTTGACAAACGTCTGTGTTGCAATTACAACAGCCCTGTTTGTCTTTTAGAGAAAACAGGATCAAGCGCTCGAGTCTCTTATATCCAGGAATGAGGGCAGAAATGAGGCCTAAATAAGTGGCTCAAAGACTTCGAGATTCCTTGGACTAGTTGAAGTTTCCCTCAAATTATAGAACCAACATTCAATAGCCATCTTTTTTATTTTGCTTAGTTGCCATTTAATAAAATAAATGACATTTTCAACATTCAAAAGTAGGAAGATTATAATTGCTCATAATCTTAGAATAAAGAACACTAATAGAAATTGTTTGCAAATTACCCTTTTATCTTTTGGTGCGGAGAATTTGTCATTAGCTAGCTGCAAACGTATCCCACACTGCCCTCTAGAGACTAGAAGGTTGAATTACAACCTTAGTTTAAGTGACGGCCTTATTTAATTTTGGAAGATCACTTCCGCTCCCTTTCTGCTCTCAGCTGAACTTGAGCTTTTACTACGAATCAAGGAGCTGTGTGGGGAGTACTAAGAGATATACACAAAGGGGAACCGACAGTGAAAAGGTGATTTTGGAAAAAGTTTTTGGAAAATGATTCCCAACTCAACTGTATATAAACTAATCATCAAAGAGGCCTGATGCCCAACCTCTCCCACCAGTCTTAAGAAACAGGGCTCAGCCCAAGTACACAAAGAAGTCAGTTAGGGACTGTCTGAAGCCATGGATGAGACTTCTGCCTAATAACAGTGTCACCTTATAAAAAGCCACACACATGCTTTATATAATTGACCTTTTAAACCTCAACTTTTTTTTTCATTTTACGTAAGAAACGGAGGCAAAGAGCGGCTAAGTAACTTGATCAAAGCCACAGTTGGTAAGCTGGCAGAGATGGAACAGAATACTTGACTCTGTCTTTCCTATCCTTCAGATTCTTTGGAATTTAAAACTCCCTCTGCAACCATACCTAATCTTTTCTCTGTATCAATATCCCCCACCCACTTCCACTTAGATTGTGATGGACTGAAGGGCTTCAAGTATGATAGGAAACAAGAGCAGAATTTCCTGTTGAAATTTTCCTATTGGGTTAGAAACTACATGATCAATCAAAAACATTCAGTGATTAAAAAAAAAAAAGTTCTTTAGGTCACGGACCCCGAGATACTAATTAAGGCTGTGGACCCTCTCCCTAGAAAGCTGCACATAAATCTTTGAGCAATACTTCAAAGCATTTACAAATATCACCTCTCCCTCCAATTTCATCAGTTGTCTGCCAGAGGTCTATAGACCACCACCCTCTCTCATATATTCATTCTGTATAGATGGCCTAAATAAACAAACTAGGGTCAGATTTGATGAGGTCTCTAGTGGCCTGGGAATAGGAGCTATTAAACAGCAATAAATGGGCTATTTCCAAATTGGGTTACCTCACTATCCAAGAAAAGATTAGCGGGAATATGGTGGTACCAAGACACAAGGGAGGGTGTTTCTGATTCAATAAACATCATTATTATTATTGGGTGTCCTTCCTTCCAAATTTCTAGTATCAGATGGAGAAATAGGAAAAAATAAATAAAAAGAAGCAACACTCCAGTACACTTTTTTTTCTCCTTTTTTACTTACATTAAATACATCGGTAAATCAGCAGTCGCATTCTGTTACCACGATTGTTATGTTGGGAGAGGGAGAAAGGGGGGAAAAGGCAAATGCTTTCTCAAGAAAAAAAAAAGACCTCCCCGCTTAAAAAAAAGATCAGAAGAAAAAAAATGAAGAGCTGGGAAATAAAAACTAAGATTCCCCCAAGCCCAATAGAGCTCAAAGGAAAGCAGAAGAGCTGGAAGTAGATGGAAGGCAGCAGATAGGCCCAGAAGCTAGGCCAATCCTGTTCCTAAGAGGGGGCGGGGAGGGAAGAAGAAGCCTGGAGAAATGGTTTCCCAGCCCCAAGGCAACGAAACATCTTTACTCCTGCTCCACAAGGAAAGCTGTGCAGACAAAGAACTTCATTTCTAAGAGGCTTAAGAGAGCCATCCTAGTTCTTCCACTTGTAGGGATGCACTGAGTGCTTTTGGTGCTAGTGGGCGCTAGAAAGGGGAAAATGTTTGTGTGTTTCAGGGCCACGGGAACTAAGGCTGCCCCTGGAAAAGGAAGGGAATTGAGGCCTAAGTGGAAGAACCTAAGCTGGGTCCTCCAGAAGCTCAGCTTCTTGGATTTCTCAGCTGCTCTGGGACAGGAGGCAGTCTGGAAGCCGAAAGGGCAGAAAGGTTCCAATCCTGGGTCACTATGGCCTCTCCTTACTTCCCCCAATATTCCCAAAACTCTGGGCTAGAACGAGAAGGAGTTGAAAGTTCCCTCTTGCCTTGATGGCTTCTTCCCAAAGCCATCCTAAAATTCCTGATGAGGGATGTCAAGAGGCTAGAGATTTAAAAGGACAACTATCCTCTGGGATGTGAGACACCATGAGGGACTTTCAGTGCCAGTCATTCCCTGTCCACAGGAACAGGTGTTAAGATATGAGGGAGCCACATGTAGGCCTCTATGGTACTACCCCCTAGTGGTGTGTGGATTAAACCACTGGTTGTATGGGGGGTGGGGATATCATGGAGGAACCAAACTGAAGATACTAACAAAGAAGAAAAGAAATAGGGAGATGGGGGACAGAACAGACTGTACAGTGGGAATAAAGATCATATCTATTTACAGGGAAGTAGAAAAGACATGGTAATTGGTGGATCAAATTGAATGGGAACCCTGGGAAAGGACAGAAAATGCCTCCCTTTTGCCTGACTCCTCTTCACTCCCATACCATGGCCTACGCTGTCCTGAGACTCCTCTTCAGTTGCTCAGTGATTCCCCAGGAAAGGCAAACCTATACCCAAGAGCTAGGATGGTAAGAATACAGGTGAGGTAAGAATCAGAGTTGGAGGAAGGTAGCAGTGGAGACTGGGCTTGAGTAGCTGCCACCAGTACTGTTCTCTACAGCCCCTCCCCAAACCTCACATACACCTCAGATTCCATTTAACTAAAAGGAGTTGAGGGCAGGTAAATCAATCAAAACCCCCATAAAACAAATATCACAACTGAACTACCATCAATTAAAGTGCAAACTGCAGGGGGATACAGTGGCTGGGGCTGAGGCCATCTGAAGGCCAGAGAGGGAAAAAAATGCATATGTAAAGGTCAGAGGATGGGTATCAGAAACTGGTCCCTCCTCCATTTAGATCACAGCAGAGCCAAAGATGCAGGCAACCAGTGAAGATTCTTTGGAGGACTCTAGGGTCCAGAATCTCCCCCGCTATGGGGGAGAAGCTACCTAAGAGGCTGCGTGAGGGGAAAGGAGGCCTTGGAAGAATGCCAGAGCCACAGATGACACTATGTCTCCACCTCCTCCTCCCAGTTAGCTAACAACATGACTCCAGCCTGGTGCCCGAGAACTTGCCTTCCCATTCTCGCCTCCACCTAGAAACACCCTCCATAAGACCAACTCACGGATACTGCAGTGTTTTCAAATATGAGAAACTCCAACCAAATAAAAACAAAAAGGAAATGTTTCCTTACTCCCTCCTGCTCCGCACCTTACTTTCCCCCAGGGCCCTTAATGTGACTGAAGTAGAAAACTCCTTCAGTTCCTGGATTCACCACCTTCTCCATCCTGGGGAGAGGAGGAAAAAGGGATCAAGAACAGAGATTGACCAAAAGCAGAAGGGGAAGGGGCAGGAGACAAAAAATGTTTTCTGAAAAAATGGGGAGGAGGAGGAGGAAAGATAAGTAGGTCACTGTCTTGCACCTATAATACAAAGTGAAGAAAGTTTGTTTTGGAAGGTTAAGTCCTGGGGGATCTGACCCCCAAGCCCCAGAGTAGGGGTAGGAGGCCAGTGGCAACAGCTGCCTGGTGTTGGTTGCTGAAGCGTTAAAAAGTGCCATGACGGAGCTGTCAGGAGGCAGCCCTTGGAGCCAGGGCTCAGTGTGCTGTTACCATAGGGGCTGTGTGCTGAGGGGTGGGGATGGAGGTTATTTCTTAGCTCTCGTGCTAGCTCCGTGCTTGTTTGCTGCTAGCCACCCCCTCAGTTGCTACAACACTGGCTCTTGTTCTGCTGGGACTGCTCATGGAGATCCACACCACGGCTTCGGCCTGCTGCACCCCCCAGATTCTGGGGTTCACTCTTTGGCAACTTCTTAGCTAGAGATAAAAACAGAAGGGAACAAAGCATGGTCGATTTTACTGATACTCCCAAAAAGACTACTGGGTGGGGGAGAAGTAGGGGAACGAGGGAAAGGGGATGTTCTGCAGGGGGGGCGGGTTCACTGTAAACTACACTGAAGATGAGGGGTCTTAAGCTGCAGTGGTAGGACAGAGGGTCACAATGGAAAGTTAAGATGCTGCTCTGACCTTACCTATTGCCAGGAAGAGATCATTCACGTTCATAGCTGTCTTGGCTGAAGTCTCCATAAACAATAAGCTGTTGTCATCTGCATACGCCTGGGCCTCCTGAAAGGGGTGGGGTGGACTGGTGCTCAGAATGCAGGGCAGGAACAAGTACTGCCTTTCCACTCCCATGTAGCACCAGAGCTAGCCAATATCCTAGGTTCCCTCCCTTAACTGCCCCTCTGAGCCAGCCGGCCCTGAACCCATATTTTGGTGATGACTCCCTCAAGGATAACCCAGGGTCTAGCCCACTTAATCCCAAAAACAGAGGTCAGGAATCTTAATTATGGGGAAGAAGGTAAGCTGGTTGGGGGTTTTCAAGTTCTGACACTTGAATAGTCCCTTACCTCAAATTCAATTGCTCCCTCCTTCCTGTTTTCACATTGGTACCCCCACAGCTGGTACTCCCACAGCTGGTACCGGTACTTCCCTACCCCTCTGCTCTGGAATTGTCTTCTGACTCCTCTAAAATCTCCTGGCTGGCATTAGGGTCACAGTTTTGCTGTATTTAACATGGTGCAGAACTGGGGAATGAGATGATGAATGTCCTCAGATGACGTTTTCAGAGAGGGCAGGTTTGGAAAAGAGAGGTCCTAAGCACAGAGGGAGAGTGTTAGAGAGGGACTCAACGGCCATCTTACTTCATACTCCACCATGCGCTTGTTGGCCAGGTCAGCTTTGTTCCCCGCCAGGGCAATAACGATGCTAGGACTGGCCTGTCGTTGTAGTTCCTTCACCCATGTCTTTGCTCGGGCGAAGGTCTCCTAGGAAAACACGAGGATGAGAATGGATGGGCTGGAATGACTGCCGATCCAGGCTCATCACCTTCAAAAACCAGTCTTAAAACTCACCTCTTCTAAGCAGCCTTCACTCACTGAAACCACCTGTGTCTGACAATTCATTACCTATGTCTTCTCAGCACTTGGAAGCACAATTTGTATTCTTATTTTGCTATTTTAAGAACCAGTTTTCTTTCCCCCACCTAATTTAATTCCTATAAATAAAAGCAAGGACAATCTTCTCAGCCCACTTACCTGATTAGTAATGTCATAAACCACAATTGCAGCTTGGGCACCTCTGTAGTACATGGGGGCCAAGCTATGGTACCGCTCCTGCCCAGCTGTGTCCCAGATCTCAAACTTGACTGTTGTGTCATCTAGACAAACAGACTGGGTGAGGAAGGCCGCTATGAATGAGAGAATGGAGGAGAAGTTGTTGTTAAGTGGGAGGATGAATGAGAAGATCCCACCATCCCCTCCTCAAAATATCTCCACTCTCAGTCCAAGACCGGTCACCACCCAGGCTATTCACCTATAGGAAAGGCTTAGCATTCTCCTCCAGGTCCTGGAACCAGAATTAAGGCTGCTCTTGGCTAAGTCCTTCCTGTCAGAAGTCTCTCTAGCTAAGGAATGGGGGCACGTCATAAATCCTGAGGGACAGAAAGAAGAACTGGCACTTATACCAGAGTCATCCCTCTTCCAACCAAAACAGAGGAGTAAGATGATGACAGAGATCATAAGTTTCAGATAAAAGTCACATCAAGAACTGATTAGAAGATTTTAAAGCCTGATGTGAGGTCCCACAATTATCAATATTATTTGGCTGTTACTTTTTCATATCTTCTTCTGTTGGTCCAAGAACACATTTCCAAGGTGACTAATAAAAGTGGGGAAGAAAGACATGGGAATTCTCAAAAGATCCTTTATTGAATTAGCACCCTATTTTGGGGTAGTGGCAGGGAGAAGGTAGCAAAGGTGGAAAAGGCAGATGTCCTTTATCTTTTGTATTTAGTTCCAGCCTCTATTTTACCAGATATGTGCATCAGGATCATTTAAAGAGCTTTTCCAAACATACATTTCTATACCATCACCAACCTCACCCTACCCCCAATACTAATCAGTAGATTGAGGGTAGGATCCAAGCATGCATGGGATGAAAATGGTCTCCAGGTGATTCTAATGTACATCTCTGATTATGAGTCACTGTCCCAAACCAACCTTACTCAAGATGACACTCAACTGAACTTCACTGGTATAAAGACGAGAGTAGGAAGAGGAAAACAGACTGTGATAGATAATTAGTGGTTTTCTTGGTACACAAAAGCCAACCTTTCTAACCTTCTAGGAAGTAAGAGGATGAACATATACCTGCTTTCTGGCATTATGGCAATTTTTTTGTTTCACAAAGGATTTCCATTTCAGGGAGCTAAGAGGGCCAGTTCCACAATCAGGTCCCTATATCTCCCTTCAAAGCCTCTTCTCTCCCTGAAGTACTCACCTCCAATGGTGCTCTCCTGGTACTCATGGAACTGCCCTTTGACAAAACGTAATACCAGGCTAGACTTTCCCACTGCAGATTCACCCAGCAGGACCAATTTGAATTGGCATATTTTGCTGGCCTGGGGCTGCCCGTTGGGCCTGGCTGTGCTTCTGCTAGTCATGGCTAGATTATCAGAGTGGGAAAGGGTGAAGGGAGGGGGATGCCACAAAGCGGCGAAGGGGGGAGGGGGGAGGGGAGGGGACTTCCAGGCTTCAACAGTCCTGCAAGAGAAAAAGTGGGCAAAATTAAACACAGGGCCATTATAGCTGCAATCATTTTTTAAAGAAAGGATAGAATCTCTTCATTTCTTTGCTCCCATAAGGACTTAACTCTTATAATCACCCATCATTAAAAGGTTATACCTAGACAGCAGACACTCAGTGGTAAGAGTGGGAAACAGTAAAATAAGAACTGCATCTAAAATAGAGTTTGCTGAAATGGAGACTAAAAATCGTGTGAGAGAAGTTTTTAACCTCCCATTCATTCCTGACCGGGTCTTCAAAGAAAGGCAAAGTGATCAACTTTTTAGTTAGCCTGAAAAACACCCATATCTACCCAGAAGGACACTAGATCCCTGCTAACTCCTTGGTGTCCTGATACTGATCTTTTTTCACTCTCCTCTTTTTTCTAGCTTTCAAAATGAGAGATTTACTCTAGGGGTGTCAGACAAGTCACCCCTCCTGAGTGGAGGGTAGCTTTCATTCATACATGACCATTCTTCTCGACATTTCTGAAAATCTAACCAAAGTCTAATTACCAAAAAATGTGTCCTTTCTCACTTCTGGTCAAAAGTAAGTACAGAAACACAACCAAGAGCCCACGTTCAGTATGAAAATCTAATCAAGGTCCAATTACCAAAAAAAAATCTATCTTTTCCCATTTCTGGTCAAAGGTTAGTATAGAAACACAACCAAGAGAACACATTCAGTATTAATTCTTCACTTTGCTTCTGCCACCTCTCCGAACCTGAAACTCTGAGTCAGTAAGTTTGACTTGCTCTCAACCTGCAGCTGTCCTCCCGGTGCCTAGGGATTAGACTACCCTCCACACTAAAAGGGCCCAACAGTTGTAGCCCTCCAAATTACAGGCAGAGAAAGAAGGTACCTTCTCAATACATGCAAAAGTCTCTAGAGGATGGTATAGGGGCTAAGTCTTCAAGCTATAAATATTTGATGAAAGAATAGAACTAATCACCTTCTCTACCTTCCAAGTGGCTAGGACAGGTGGTGGTGGAGGAGGAGACAGAGAAAAGTTGGGACTCTGAGTGTCCCATCATCCAAACCTGAACACATATCATCTTGACTCTGAGGGGAAATGAACTATGAGATTCAAAGAAATGTCAGCATGATCAGAGCATGAAAAACCTCTCTAAAACCTAAGCGATGCTTGGTTTGTACTTTGCTTGTTCAAGTGACTCTTTCCCTGCTCTAGGGTTAATTCTATTGACTCTACAAACATACTCTGACATATAGGGGGAAACATTTTTGTCACTATAGCAAGTTGCTTTGGAGTCAAATCAGGGTTAAAAATCTCTGCAATCCTAAGTGAAGACAAGACAGAAAATAAAAGATAGAAAAACCATACAGGAGGCAATGCAGAGGAACACAGGTTGTGGAGTCCAATTCACTGGATTTATTTTATAGTTCTGCTTACTAGCTGTGAAACTTGGGACAAGTTACTAAATCTATCTGTGTATTTACTCCCACATCTGTAAAATGGGTTAATAGCCTTATGAGCATCTACTTCATAAGGTTGGTGTGAGGATTAAGTGAGATAATATATACAAAGAACCTAAATATTTGACAAAAAGTGCTCAATGATTATTAAGCTACTAATCATTATGAATATAATAACATCAAGAAAATTTCTCTGCCTGAGCCTTACCTTCTGCATTTATAAAATGGAAAAAAAACCTACCTCATAAAGTAGCCATGAGGATTAAGTGAAAGATATATTTAGCATAGTGCTAATAAATAATAAGGTAGGTATGTCATTTAGAGGCCCTGATTCACAGAAAAGATCAATTTAATATATTAAATATCTCAATATTAGTCGTGATCAATATATTTCTAAAAGCAGCCATGATATGAGATAGAGACGAAAAAAAAAAAACAAGAAAAAAAAGTGTAAAGAGGAAGTTAACAGAGGAATGAGACAGAAGTGAGAACTCAGAAAAGTCCCAAAGTAGACTAATTAAGACAGAGGAATGTAAGAAATTACTCTGATCCTACTGGGTATTTTGTAGTCTCCTAGGTCAGTGAGTTCTAAGAATCTAGATATACATGTGCCACTTTGTGAAGTTTTCACTAGTCTATGATAAAATGATTAAAAGAAAAATGACATAGCAAGTTTTTCATAAAGCTAAATTCATTCAATTAAAAAATATCCTTTCTAAGATTTCTAACTTCTTACTTTCTCAGCATCAATTTTCTTTCAGAGGTAAATATATATTTATTGCATGGATAAACCTCTAAGACCTATTGTTAACGTTTAAAATAAATTGGAGAACAAAACACATGGTTGATCCTATTTCTATAAAACAAAACAAAATCCTACAGAGAAAAAAGTATGGAAAGATATAGACTCATCTGTTAACAGTGGTTACCTCCCTCTGAGGAGAGTGGTATGTGAAGGATTCAGATTTTTTTCATTCTACATAATCCTTTTCTAACAGGAAATATATATTTTTAGTTTCCTATATAGTTTTTTTTTTAGTGCTTTTACAAAATAGTGTTGATAGGCTTTCTAAATAACCTTATGTGGAAAAATAAAAACGCCAAAATTTAAATAATTGGTCTATTAAATCCAAAATCCTGGGAACTAGTATTGCAAGAGTCAGTATTAACTCACTTCTTAACCACTAGTCTCAGTTCTTTAGCTCTTTCATTCTCAAACCTTTAAAGCACTGTTTCTCCAATTGTGGCTGTAAGCCAACAGTGACCCTGAAATCACTTGGTGGATCATGATCAGTATTATTAAAAAAAAAAAGAAAAAAGAAAAAAAGTCAAATGTATTGTAAATAATAAGCATAAGAATCATTTTGCGAAAATGTTTCACTTGTGGGTAGATGTACACACAATGAATTATGAAGTAAAGAAAAAATTTTTTTAAAATGCCACGACCAAAAAAAGTTTAGAAAACAGTGCTCTGGATTAGGAATTTGGTATTAACAGATACACACTATTATCTATAAGACAGATAAACAACAAGGACATACAGAAACAGTGCTTTGGAGATGCCTGACACTGCAAGATGGGTTAACAGGAAGGCCAGTCTCTGGCCAGCCTATAGGCTATAGTTACTACTAAAGCACTTCTAGATGAAATTAAGATGAGGGCTGAATATAGCTCTCCAGGGGTCAGAGGTTCTCCAACTCTGCTACTAAAGTTAGGGAGCAATTATGAAAATGGGAAGTCAAAGCCAACAGAGGCAGTCTCACACAATGGTAAGGGCTTTGCAATCAGGCAAGCCTGAGTTTTATTCTCTGCTTTGCAATGAACCCATTGGGATCTCAGACCATTCACTCCCTTTGCCTTTCTGAGCCTTAGTTTCCTTATCTGTGAGGATGTGGGGGTGGGGTGGGGAGGATAATATGTGAAAGCAGCAAAAGGCAGAATTTGAATTCAATTCCAAAGTTCTGGGTACATTTAAGATATCTGTTTCTCTTAGGGCTTGGCTTCTCAGAATCTGTGAGGATGAATTATTTTTTTAAAACATTTATGTAGTACTTCATATACATTATTTCATAGGAAAAGAAGATAGGCCATCATAACTCTACACTCTGAAACAGATAACATAATAGGAAAAAAACCCTACAAATAAGTTGATAAAGTTTCCTTTAGGTGCCATACATATTCTCTACTCTTAAGAAACAACAGGGAAAGTTACTAGATTCTTCGACTTACTCCCTCACATTTTTATCTACCAAAGCACGTGATTCAAGGGGCAGAACACTAAGCCTTAATGTTACTGCTCTACAATATATGAGTGTTAGAATGGACTGAATTCTCATGGGCAGACACATCATGCTAGGCCTGGGAAAACAGTAGGAAATTGGAGAAGTGTGAAGACAGGAAACAGTCAGACACTCGGGTTGCAAAGCCCTTGGTCATTAACCCTCACAGATTTTAAGTCAAGCCAGAGCCCATCGGCAATCAGCAAACTTTCTTGAATTGTCAGATTAGTAACTACTGGATTAGAGGAGACTACCTCTACCCCAAAGTTTTAACTCAAGGATATGTCCTATCTTCTCTGTTCACAGTAATTGATGGGTTGCCATCTCTGTGCCTTATCTTTAATCCCAACATGTTTATAGGGGTATTATGTTTCTTAGGCAATAGCTGGACTCTCAAAAGTTCAGGGGTACAGAAATGGAATAATACATGTAAGACTCAACTGATTTCTACTCTGGTGGTGATTTTTTTTTGCTAAGAGCTGACAGTGGGCAAACGACCCATCCAAAGGCAAAAATAAACCACAGCCAACCAGTCATGTAGTGTGATGATTATTACCTTCAAACTGGAGGCAAAAAAAGGAGAAGGAGGTTTCTCTTCATTTTTTGGGGTGGGGTGCTAATTACGTTTATTTACTTTTTAATTAAATTTTTTTTAAATGGAGGTACTGGGGATTGAACTCAGGACCTCATGCATGCTAAGCATGTGCTATACCACTGAGTTTTACCCTCCTCCCCAAGGAAGTTTTTCTTTCTTCAACACTTTCAGTTCAGAAGAGAAGAAATCAGACTTAACTTTCCACAAGAATGGCTTATCAAATGACCATTAACTAGGGAGGATCAAGGCTCGACCATGGCATCAGCCCACTGGGAAAGGGGGATGTGGAAGATGAGGGGTAAGCTCTTTAGTGTGGGCAGCTCTCCCAGCAGCACAGGAAAATATGAATAGGATAAGTTCCTCAGCCTGCCAATCCCAGGTAGGGCAAAACTCCATTCCTCAGGTCCCTTTCTACTTGGTAGCTTTGGGTCACTTTGCCAACTAAGTATGAAGCCTCTAGAAATCTGTCATCTATCAATAGAGACTGAGTTCCAGGTACAGAGCCACTAGAGTCTAGCCCACTCCCAAATGTCAGCCCTGTAAGTTCAGTTTGCCAGATAAGAGGCAGTCTAGAGGTCATCTGGTCCAGTCTCTGTATTTTATGGTGAGGAAACTGGGGCAAATCAATCAACCTACCAGGTGTTACCATACAGCGAGCTACCCCACAACCGCTTAGCAAATCTCCTAGCTAGCCAGTACTCCTAGTCAGGAACTCTGGCTCCTGTTGTACCACCACACCTCGTAAGGAAGCAGGAGGTGCTAAACTCTGAACTGAAATCCAAAGGCACCAGGAGAGGAACAAGAGCTTAGACTGGATAAAGTTTCTGCCTCTATTCAGTTTAGATAAGCACTTCCTTTGGGAACTAAAAACAAGTTAGGAAGGCCCAGGCCTTCCCTGGGAACTGGGATCCAGCCCTTTATTTTTCTGACAGAAGGACTCACTCATTACTATGCATCTCTAGAAGGTCTTGACCAACCCCTGCCAGGACAGTTGAAATAGAAGCAATTCAGTGGAAGGCGTCAGGAAAGCAGTGGTAATTTCCGCACAATTCAGTGTGCCTTGTGATTAATGTGAGATTTACTGAGTAGGGAAGATAGAGCAGAAGCCAGTAAGTACCTTAAACTCTCCAACTTTGTTTAGACCCCAAATTACCAAAATCTTAAACTGAGTTCCACTACTTGGCTCAGCTTTCATTGTGTTCATCCAATGTTAACCAGGGAGTCACTGGCTTAAATGAGAGTCCTTCCACTTCACCCACTTACATTTCTTCCTTGTAGTTACCCAAGAGGCAAAAAGCATACCTATCTCTTATTAGCATGGTACTACAAACTCCCTGTTATTGACCTAGGAAAGACTGGAATGCCCTTCCCCACTCTGACTGCCTAGCAAACTCCTAAGATACCTTCTAAAGCCACGCTCAAATGCCACATTCTCTGTGAAATTCCATGACTACTCTCTCACTCCAGCAGGATTCATCACTGCTTCTTCTGGGATCCTAGAGTATTAAGACTATTTCGGCTGCAGCATTCATTACATTATATGAGCTAATTGTGTTTGTCTTCTCTGCTAAACTATGATATTCTCACTAAGTGTGACTATTTTTTAAGTCATCTTGAATCTCCAGAGCAGAGCACAATACCTGGTCCCTAGTAGGTGTTCATTAAATGCTCCCTAAATTAATTAAGGCCAAAGCAATCTTGCTTCCTTCCTCCATCTACTCCTTCCCTTCTGTGCCGTCTGGATAGATTCTTACTCAGTTCCATTTGGGAATGTTTTTAATAGGCCTCAGAGAACCAATTCTCCCTCTTGCCTCTCTGTGATCTCCCCTGGATGGAGGGCCCTCTTGGGACCCAGGCCACAAGGTACTGTTGCAACTCACATGGGCTAACTGCTTTTCCTGTCACCCGTTACTATGCCTCAGATGGCCTAATCACACTAAATATGTTGCCCTTCCACCCTAACACTGAAGCAACAGTGGCTAAAAAAGTTCTCTGAATTTTCAGTTATGTGAAGTGTGCAAAAAACATTGGGTCATTATCTCTATTAATTTCTGAACTTGAGAAACACAAGTTAAAAAAAAATCATACCACCACAGACCTAGAGGACACTGAAAAGGTACCCACTGCCCCTCAGTAAACTACAACCTGGCCCAGAAATCTGCACACACTTTGCTCACCTGGGTAGCTCCTTATTCAGCTCAGTTACTGTGCAGTCAAGGGCTAAATCTTTTCTAAAACACTCTTGGGAAGTGGGACTGTATTATGTAGGGTTTTAAGGTATCCTTCCTCCTAGAAGGCTGTTGCATTTCCTTATTTTAAATTCACTGTCTTACACTTTGGTTACTTTCTAATCTGAAATGCTTTAGGATTAGGGAGCAGGCTGTACACTTGCTTCTTCTACACTATGCCCCCTAAGTCAAATTCATATCAATGCACACAAACAAGCAAACTATCAAAGAGCAATCCTTGCTCCTGGGCAAACTAAGAGTTGGATGATATGAGGTATGACTTCAAGGGCAATGGGAAAGCCCTCTTCTCCAAAAGTATTTTTGTAACTCCAGATCTATGTTTGAAATTCTATATTGATAATTCTACTCCTTAGCTCCATGTTAAGAAGCAAAAAACCTTGGAATGATTAATACTTTAAGTGACTATTTGTTATTTATAACTTAACATGGAGCAATTCCAGATCATTTCTTGAAGGTAGACTTTGACTATGAGGAAGGTGGAAAAGACAAAAAGAACAAGAAAGGGACAGGATACCATTAGGATGTAGGAAGCCTAGTGAGCATTAAAAAAAAAACCCTCCCCGCCCCCCCACGCATCTGCACAATCTTCTCTAGGACTGGTTTTGCAGGAGAGAAAATAAAAGCTCCTGGGGGGACAACAATCAAGGTTTCTGGGGGTACTGTACAAAGGCTGGGCACATTAAAGGGCTTCTATAGCCAGTAAGGACAAATTCAGTTAATAAGGTGGTGTATAAAGCGTCCCAGCTGTGCTGAGATTTAGAGGAAAATCAATTTCATATCTAGAGAAATTTGGAGCCTTCATGTATCACTACAGAAAGATACAGGGGCCCCTAAGGAGACCCATCATCTTCTTTTAGGATAGTGAAGGGACAGTCACATAATCTGAACATGCAGAGACCATGAACCAGAAGATAGAAGTCTCAAATTCTTCACTTTAGCAGAGATGCCAATAATTCTCCCAAACAGAATAATTCACGTTAATGTTTCTTTCCTGCCCATAAAAGAGAAGTAGGCCATCTATTGGCTATTTCCTAGGATACCCATGCACAAGGGGGTGTATGTAAGGATGTACAGGATAACCCAGAGTACAGCTCTCTGCTTGTCTTTGATAAAAGCAAGACAAAATGAACTGTGAAAAGGAGCACAATGAATAACAGAGTATCATCTCAGAAGGGAAAACTGGAAAGAATGAGAAATCAGTTTGGTGGAAAACATGAAAACAGAATTGCCTTTGGTGGCACATCCCCCAAAGCAAAGCAAGATTGGTCTGATGTGCTGTCTCTTATCTCTGACCTTTCTGGATGAAATGAGTGAGGTATATGTGGGAGGATTTACACTTTTTACACTTCTGTAAAACTTGAATATTTAAAAATATATACATATTACTTTTCTAATTAAAAAGAAATGTAGTTATAAACTACGGTAGTATAAAAGGGAAAAAGGAGGAAGTATAACAAGGGAAAATCCAATAAGCTCCAATCTATGGGGGGACTAAGGAGGTCAGTAGGCCATTAAACATAAATAGGAGGGGACTCCTGTGTCTTAGTAATCCATCTTTTCTCTACTCACCATCTTCCCTAAGTGCCTCTCTGACCCAACCTTCTAATAGCTCAGAAACCTGGGCTCCTGAAGAAGTAGATAAAGAACAGTTGTGATGCCAACCTTCTGGAATGGAATTTCTCACTTGTCCCCAAATCCCTTCCTCAGTGATATCACCTCATATTTCCAAGCTTGGTCCTACCTAACCACTACCTGCCTGGGAAATATCCAAGTCTAAGGGACATAAAAGTTTCACCAACTATGGTCACAAGATCTCTGGATAGCTGGGGATCCCTAAGCCCATTTCTAGTGCAGAAAATGAATCACTGATTCCCCACTTCTAGGTCAGAGATATGGCATCCAATATAGACCACATTATTAAGCTGGAAAGAAACCAACAAACATCCCCCAAATCCAACTTTTTAGCTTTTTCACAGGTCATGAAACAGTAGGTAAGAAGTAACAGACACTGCAGCCAAGACCAGCTTGAGGGCAAGGGAAAGTGTTAGGGGCTGAATTTGGAACAGCCAATAGTTACAGAAAAAAATTACTTTTGTCTTGTTGGCTACCCTGGGAATACCAAAAAACTTAAAACTGCCACATCTCCACACTAGTGGGAACAAAAGAGTTACTACTCCCAAGGGTACTTCCAGCCCACCCTTCAGCATTCCCAGAAACTCCCTAAACTGATACAAGGCCCTACTTCCATTGCTCCAGCTCCCTGAGTCTTCTAGATTAGGAAAGCTTTCTTCCCTTGTCTCAGTTCTCCCTCCCTGAACCTAAACCCTTCTCGGCTCAACTCTGGGGCACCCTAGTAATTTTTATAATAGTCGCTTTTCCTGAAAAGAATTTCTCTCACCCAGCTAAGAGCTCTTCTCTGGCCCTTGCAATGAGACATCTCGAGAGAGCTCCTCCGGGGCCGGGCGCCGGACTTGACCCCTCCTCACCTCCCGGCGAATGGGCTTACCTCACCCGCCGCCCCGTCCCTTTCCCCCAGCTCCTCCCTCTCCCGCGCCGCTCAGTGAGGCCTGCCCCTGCCCGCACACGAGCCCCGGGCCTCCCGCGCCGACCCAAGCCCGGCCGCCAACACCACCCGGCCGCCTCCCGGACTCACCAACTTCGGGCTCCCAGCCCGCCCGGCCCCCTCCTCAGCGCCCTCATTAGGCCTGCGGGGGCCCGGCCCCCTTCTCCCCTCTCCAGTGGGCCATTCTAACCCTTCACTGAGGCCCAGACCCGCCTCTGCCCTCAGGCCAGGGCGCTCTCTTCTCCCGGGCGCCTCCGCCCCTGCCCTTGAGGGCTCCATCAGCCCGGTACCTGGGGCTCCGTTCCCCCGTCGGGCCCAAGCCTGTGTCGAACAGACAAACAGCTGCAGCTCAACCAAACCTTCCTGCCCCTCCTCCTCCTCCTCCTCGCCCTGGGGCGGGGGCCCCAGCCAATAGCACGACTACCCGCCTACCGTCAAGGGTGGGCTCTGTGCGCACTAACCCGCCAATCCTCTGGAGAAAGGCGGGTCCTTTTAGAGGCTGTCACCAACGAGTACGAGCAAAGGACTGGACTGGCGGGATCCTGGACCAATACAGAGAGAGAAACCTTGAAGACGGACCAGGTGAAGAGCCACTAAAGAGCGAGCTTCCCGAGGTGGGGGCGGTGCCCTGTAGAAGGCGTATACACCAACCAATAAATTCTCGACACCCTCATGACCCCGCCTTTTGACTCATAAACATCTAATCAGGTGAGCGACGGAGGCGGGTCAATGTGAAACTTTAACCAGTACTGAGAAAATTCGGTACTTGAATGGCAGGCAAGGCGGGGTCGAAAAGCCTTAGGAAGGCCGCTACTGACCTTCGCCCCTCCCCCCGGATTTGGCGGGGGTTGCCTCCGGTGCCCCGCCCTCTATGACAAATTCGTGGGCGTGAAGGGAAATACCTCTCCTAGGGACCCGGAGCCTGGGAATTTAAGTACTCCTCTTGTCGGTGCTTTCTCCTTTCGGTGGGGCCCAAGAGCACAGGAGTTTTGGGGGTGGCCCGCGGGCCTGCCTGAGATTTTTTCTTTTAGGTGAGGTAAGACAATGGCAACTCCGAGAAGTGGTAGCTGAGGGAGGCATTAGCTCTTTTATAATGATTTTTCATAAAACGATTGATGTATTCTGAATCGTATGTAAATGTGTATAAAGTAGCCTTAGAAAACTTTGCTGTTAGTGATATGCAACAAAAAGGAAAAAAGACGAACTTACTGGGAATTAGTGTCAAGGCAAATTCCCATGGAGCCCACTTTCAACCAAATTACTGTTCCTAAGCCCTTCCTAACATTGAAATTCTGGAACAGGCCCATTGTATGTGTGTGTATTTGGTCTGTGCGTGTTAGGGGGTCGGGGGCTAGATGCAGGTTTGTGGGGAAAGTGAAGTAGGAAATACATAGGCTTCAGTTTCCCCAGCTGTAAAATGGGGGCAATAATTCCCACTTCGCCTACCCTCGGGACTATCCCAATTTTATCACAGAAGTCAAAAAGAGGTGAGGTGGGTAACCCTGCACAGAGAGATTAGGAAAAGGAGGGGGGTGGTGTCTGAAACCAATTATATACACACATTCATACTCTCTCTCACAACATTCTTTCAGTAAATAACACAAAAGTAAAAGAGTAAAGAGATGAACTATAAAACCAGGAACTTTTTTTTTAATGAATTACAAACTAAATTACAAATAATGTTAATGGCAAGAATATTCAAGGACAAAAGGTGGGAGAAGAGAGACAAAATCATAAAAAGAAAAAAAGATTTTTTAAAGACATTTGCATTACAAATCCCAAGGTGCCCATGGCAACAAGTCCAATCATTCCCACTTAAAAAACTATTATAACCTGAAATATAAATATAATTGTTCATCCTTCTTTTAAAGAAAAAAATTTTTTTCCCAACCCCCCCACTCAGTCCTAAAAGTGTCAGCATTCTCAAAATGATGTCTAAACCTTCACTTTCACTCCATGGGGTGGCCTTCAGAGGAAGATGGGAACTAGCACCTGAAGAATTAAGAATCTTAAAAAGAAGAGAAAATTTCAAACATCGTTCACTGTCTCCATAAGGCCTCAGTGAAGCAGTCCCTGTCCCAGAGCCTCCCAGACACTCCTTGCCTATAAAAGGGACAGGCAAGAAGACTAGGAGTAATCATTTCTACTGCAGCCCCACCAGGACTGTGGAGACTGGGAATCTGGAGTCTCCCAAACTATTAGGTGAGATGAAACACTAAAACTAAGATATAAACTGGTTGGACCTATTATTTAACCTAATTCTTTAAAACAGGACCCTCCCTATGTTTTTGTTTTGCTTGGTTTCCAAAAGTTCCAATTTAGCCCCTTTGCTTTCAGTTGGCCTTACAAACACAGTGGCTGCAGGAGGCTTGGGGTCTCTGTCATCCCGAACACAGAAAATAATAATACAGGGCTTTCAGAGACTGGGATGGCAAACCCTATATGGAGGAATGAGGAAGAGTCAATCTTTTTTTTTTCCTTAAATACCAACCCTCCTAAGCAATGACTAAGAGGAGGGGGATAGGATGGTCGAGGCTGACATAAGTGCATCTAATACTGAAGCTTCCTTTCAATTTTACCTATTTCTCCCCTCCACCTGCTGTTTCCCCAGAGCTGGCTGGCTAAGAGGGGCAGGTGAGTGCTAAGGCAGCCAGACAAAATCAGTGGGCTAAGATCCCAGGACCAAGGCAGATTGGGCCCCCACTGGAGGACAGGGTGATCCTGGGGGCAGGGGCTTGGAGAAGGACATCAGAGTCGAAGGTGGGGTACTGGCTTGGTCACATCCTGGAAGAAAGGGTGAGCCAGAGCTGCCTTTGCTGAAATCCGCTTGTTGGGGTCGTAGTGCAGCATTTGCTGGAGGGAGAGATGCATGCTGACTTCAGTAATGTGATAATGGACTGAATGGGCAGCAGGTGTTTTGAGAAATCAGGAAAATAGAATTCCTTTCACCCAAGGCAGAGTTCCTATTTCCCTCCTCCCTATATCTAATGGGTGCACAAATGACGAGAGGCAAGCAGGGGCTGGGGAGATGCTGAGACCAGGAGTCCAAGGCCTCATTCTTCTTTCATCTTGGAAAAACCCTGCCCTAGGGGAGCAACTGAGAAGAAATGGGTGCCCAGCTCCCACTCTCACCGATAACAAGCTCCGTCCATCTTCATCCAGCGGAGGCACAACTTTGCTAAAATCTTGCCTGGCCCACTTTGGGAAACTCGGCTTATAATCAGGCATAGAAGTAACTCCTGGCCAAACCACCTCATCAGGGGTCCCCAGAGTCCGAAAGATCCGGAAGAGTTGATCGATCTCAGAATCTCCGGGGAATAGGGCCCGGCGAGTCACCTGAAAATGGGGAGAGAGGAAAGGCCAAGACCCACATTGACGTCAGTCAAAACTGCCCACTGAATAATGCAGGTTCCCACAGGCAGTGGAAGGTCAGCAGGGCCCCATGACTCCCTCCCCAGGGCTTTTCATGGGGTCAGTCACACAGAGCCTGAGACAATGAAGTCCCTTCATCTGTCTCCTTGCCCCCTCCTTCCTTCCCCCAACCATGGCTTTGCAGATCCCCAAGGCTGGGTGGGGCTGGGAGGGGGTGAATGTCTGGGGTGCCACTGACGTGTAGCAAAGGGATCCCAAGCCACTCACGGGGTGTGGGGTAGACACTTCGGTCATCCCCCCTCCTTGTGATGCAGCCACTTCTAGATAGGAGCACAGCGGGCAGAGACTGTGTCTTCCATTTCTTCTGTGTTCCCCATAGCACCTAGCATGGTGCTGGGTACACACTAGGTGCTTAACAAATATTTTTTGATGAATTGAGAGATGAATATGGGCAATTGTAGGTAATGCACTGGGGATAAATGCACATTATATTTATAGGCTAATGGTCTCCAAGCCCCCAGTTACAACCCAGATAAGGGATCAGAAAACATGCTGCTGATTTGATTTGAAAACTCAGCTCACTCCACTGTTGTATTAAAGGGGATGAGAGCTCTCTTATAAGGCTGGGCCTCAGGGATCCTTCAATCTGAAAAGCCAGAGGTGGAGGGGGGACGTGATCTAAGTCTGCAGTTTAAATAAAAGGTGTGGATAAGGTGAACACAATTGGTTTCATCACATTCCTGGTACACTACAATAAGGTCTACAGGCCAAATGAAGGAGACACTAAATGGAACTCATTCCCCAAATATATGCAGACTACAGCTAAAACAGCTGTAGAAATGATTTAGCTCAATTCAGGGATGAGATATGTATAGTGGATGCTAAGGCTGTTTGAGGATATCCTAACATTGTGGGTGGCATCAGGGTTGACAGTCCTGTCCTTTCCCCACCACCCCTCTTTGCTACTCTAGAGGAAGAACCTTGTGATAAGAGAATGGCCATAATTCTGGGCCAAGAAACAGTTCGGTTGTTCTTGAATGTGGGGAGGAGTGGGCTGGGTGGAACTCGGGCATGCCTCCGTACCATCTCAGCAAAGATGCAGCCCAGGCTCCAGATGTCCACAGCTGTGGAGTAGTATTTGCAGCCCAGCAGGATTTCAGGTGCTCGGTACCACAGAGTCACCACCTGGGGACAAGAGCAGGAAGGGGAGGGTGGTGTAGGGGGCATAGAGATGCCCATATCTCAGCTTCTCAACACTAGTCTGCTAACTCTCAGCCTCTTAAAAAGCAACTTCTTTCCCTCCATCTTTCCCTTTCTCACCCCTCTGATTTCCCCTAAGTAAAATAACCACATACGACTTCCTAGCTCAGAGTTAACCTAGCCCCTGGCTCTCAGGACCATATTTTCTGAATGCCCAATTTGCGACCTTCCTGGAAAACTTGAGGCAAGTGATCATAATTTTAATGCTGTGCCATCCAGCTCTCCGGCTTGGTATCAAACTGTGAACTCTGTGCATACTCTAAGACCTCTTGGAGGTGTCAGAGATACTTTCCATCTAGTGAGAGAGAAACTGCTGGCCAGATATTTTTAGTAACTTTGTGAATGTCCCTGTTAACACCTCCCAGGAAGTTCAGAGAAGACATGCCGAGAACTCACCTCGTGAGTGTAAGTACGAACAGGGACTCCAAAGGCTCTGGCTAGTCCAAAGTCAGCTAGTTTGATGGACCCCTCTGCGTTGATAAGCAGATTCTGAGGTTTGAGGTCTCGGTGCAGGACGCGATGAGAATGGCAGAAAGCTAGGCCCTGGAGCAACTGGAACAGATAGCTCTGAAGAGGGGAGAGAAAAGACTGTTCTTCCATCACAGTGAGCAGATTAGGGACTGCTCTGTGCCTCTAAAGTTCTACTAAAGCCTTTACTATGTTAGGTTATAATTACATGTTAACAAGCAATTTCTCCCAGTGGACCCTCGGTCCAGTGAGGATAAAGATCAGGTCTTAATCAGTTTTGCATCTCTTTTCCATATCTTGTGTCCAGCACGGTGAAGGTGTTCAATAAATGTGTGTTGAATAAATGTTTGTTGACAGATTGAAAGTAGCTCCAGGAGTAAAGAACCCAGCAAAACAGACAACCCAGAAACTGACTGGCTATTTTCCCCACCAAACAGGTGGAAAAGCTCTTTGGAGGAATCTACCAAGTGCCCTTAAGTCTGATTTATCTGAGTTTCAGCTCATCTTCCACCTGAGCTAAGTTGACTCACTAGAGTTTCAACTTCTTTGATTCTCCTGCCCAGCCCTAGGGTTAATAAGCATAATAAGCATAATAAGCAGTGAAAGAGCCACATACAAATAACAAAAGAGTGTGTGTATGTGTGTGTGTGGGGGGGGTGAGGACTGGGAAGGAAGCCAAGATCACAAATCATCACTCAGTCTGGATTGCCTGCCTTCAGTCCCTAAAAGACATGCCCACGTTGGGGAGGAGGTGATAAGGATTACCTTGATAAGGGGAAGAGGAATGCCAGTGAGAGCAGAGGCATCCATGAATTTCTTGAGATCCTGGTGCAGAAACTCAAAAACCAGGTAGAGTTTGTTTTCTGTGTGAATGACATCCAGCAGCCTAGGGAAAGGGAGTCCAGGAATAGAGGTGAAGGAGAGAAATGCCTAGACAACACACACAGAACACATCCTCCTTTACTGTCAGAGCACCTCCCAGATACGTACTTACTTGACAATATTAGGGTGGTTAAGCTCCTTAAGCAGAGAGATCTCTCGTATGGCAGTGCTGGGTACACCCTCCGTCTCACTTGGAGAAGTTGGGAAAGCAGAGATGGGAATGTGGTTACAAATATTCCTTTCCCCCCAGCCCAGTCACTCTTCCCACTCCCCTACAGAGACACCACCCCAGCATCCCCTAGGAAAGGGAAAGAAGGGGGGCTGTAGGGGTTAATTTATGGGTGGACAGGGAATGGCTTTTGGACACATTAAGGTCATTATTTCTTCTTTTCCCAAGGGTAAGTTAGCAGAGCCTCCTGGTGAAGGTGAAGAAGGTTAACAGAAAAAAAAAAAAAAAAAAAAAAAAAAAAGGAGTAGCAGCACCGAGCCTCTCTAGAGGGGCCAGTGAGATTCAACTGCCATTCTTTTGAAAGAGGGAGAGAATTCTAAGATGAGGGTGGGGTTGGGGCAGTGAGGAGGGCCTATCATTCAAAAAGGTGCTCTTTACTGCTTACCACAAAACCCAACTACACAGGAGTCCTGGGCCCCCTCTCAGAGGCCTCCTTCCTCCTCTTCATGAGTCTTTCTGACTGTACATTTGGGGGTCATAACCCGGCTTTGGGGAGGAAATTTACCATGGATTCTACAGTACCTTATATTCTCCACAGGGAAATCCTCTACTGTCCTTCAACCCACCTCTCCACTTCCAAAGAAGTCTCTCCTTGCTACCTTCCGGTCCCTGGATGGCTACCCAACTGTTAGGGTGGGGGTGGGGGGCACTCAAGGAACTCCCGAGTTAGGAGTCCCGGGTACAGAGGCCACTCACGTGTCCAGGCGGATTTTTTTAAGCGCCACCACTTCTCCCGTCACCTTGTTTTTGGCTTTGTACACAACTCCGTACGTGCCCTCTCCGATCTTTTCCACTTTTTGGAAGTTCTCCATGAAGCGCTAGCGAGTCGGGTCAGCCCGGCCCTGGAGCGGGGGCCTGGGAACCCTGCAGAAAGCGGCACCCAGCTCTCAGGGGCCGAGGAGGGGGACCAGGGCCCAGCACCGAGACCCCAGGTCGGGATGGAACGCACTGTATCTCTCGCTCTTGTCAATTTGTCCAACTTGAAACAATGTTGCCGCCTCCCCCCCCAGTTCCCTACCGCCACCAGAGGCCCCGCCCCTCCTTCCCGCGTTTCCATGGCTCCGCCCCCAGGCCCTCCTATTGGCCAACGTCAGAGGGGCGGTGCCAGTCGTGCGCCTCGCGCCGCAAATGACCCCGCCCCTCACAAATTTGATTCTGAGGGATATTAAGATAAGTTTCAACCTAGGTAGGGAGGTCGAATACCTGTCTCCAAGTATTTGATTTGGACTCGAGAATCCTACCTGTGTCCTGAGTCTGTAGGGATTTCCTCATCTCTAAATGGCCGTTTTCACCACCCCCAGGAAAACGTGTACTGATCTGAGATTAAATTCCACCTGGCCCAAGGAGTTTCCTCTGAAAAGCAGGAAGCTGGGAATCTCATTGTAAGAATTTCCTGGGCCTCAGAGGAGTCGTTGCCTCCGCCTCTCAGCCTACCCGGATATTGTCTCTCTTTGTTTTTGGATGCAGGGTCACTGTTTCTAAGTCTTTTTGAGAGGTTCTAAATTTGACTCACAACTGATTGATCTACTCTTCTATGGTGAATAGTGTGTACCGGTACGTGTTGTGTTATATAGCTGCCCTTCAGTCAGTTCTTTCCCAGGAAGATGGAGTGTGAGAAGACGAGAATGACTCTGAAACCAGAAACTCACTGAGTAGCAAGATGTCCAGGGACAGGATCCCTCGTCAGTTCTGCCTTTCTCAGGTCCTCTTGCTCCTCCCAGGCCTCCCTTGGAAGGAGAGGAGGAAGGGCTATGCAAATGAGCACCCCTTTCTTATATAGGGGCTTGTCCCACCTTCCAGCACCTTTGGTTGCTGGAAGAAAGAACAGGATGGATCTGGTGCTGAGAAAATACCTTCTCCATGTGGCTGTGATGGGTGCTTTTCTGACTGTGGGGGCCACAGAAGGTGAGTGTGGGATATGTAGATACAAACAAGTGTAAATTTGGGGTTGCAAGCCTGCTCTGGCTTTCCCCTTCCTAATGGGAGATAGCAGCAATGCTTCTGGCTTCTCTCCCAATTTGATTTAGTGAGTGTCTGGGCACCTGAGCTCCCTCCCTACATGGAGATTTGGGACTGAGCCTGAAAATAATCCCATCTGCTTGGAAGGGCAAGAGAATAGTGGGTCTTTCTGGCCCTAATCCTAAAACCCCTTGGGCAGTGAGCTGGAGCAGGTCTCCAAAAGGGGCGAAATGAATGGGAGACTCTTTAAGACAATGTCTCAGGCAATTAGGGTAGGGTATTTAAAGTGAGGAGAAAGAGAATGTGGTATTGGATAGAAAGGTAATGAGGCGCCACACCCCCTCTTTGGGATGGGCATGGGTGAACACAGCCCAGGCTTTGGCTCTGTTGCTGGAAGAGACAGGCAGAGGGGTCTCAGCTGAGTATCACATGAAAGGGCTCTGGGGGATTGGAACCTCGTGACAGGAGTGAGCGGTGGGGGTGGAGATGGTGAGAGGGTCTGGAATGTCCCGTGCTGCTCTGAGGAGGGAGGGTTGGGCATGGAGAAAGAATGGGACATCTTATGACTCTTTTGCTCTAGTGGTGGGATGCTCAATGGGCGATTCCAGATCCTCCCCAGCAGAATCCACCAGGTTTCCAGCACACATCACAAATAGAGTGAGGACAGTTTCTGCTGTGCTGAAATATCTATATCAAATCTCAGTGCCACCTTTTCTCTAGATCTCACAGACTTCTAGGAAGTTCTCCTTGATCTGACTTCCCTCATTTATGGTGCAGTTTCAAGTCTTTCCCTTTTACTGTGTTTCCTAATGTATTTTGAAAACATTTTGTTCATATGTGTCCACCTGAGGCTCTTGAAATACTATGCCTACTTTCTGAATCCTGATTTTTAAAATCAGAAAAAGGCATTTTTAGATATTCATGAAATTTTATATGGACTGCGTTTGATAATTTTGTCTGGTGTGAGCTGACATGCTTATTCAAGAAAATATTTTTAAAATTTTTTTACAGGTACATACTGAATTTGTAGGGTTTAAAATAACATGATGTCTGGGATTTACTTTTAAATACTTCAGTCAAAAAACAAAACAGCAACAACAATAAAGAATAGATAAAGCAAATGTGGCAAAAGCTGAGAGTTGTTGGATCTGGGCGAGACATACGGAGATCCATCTTGTCCCCTTTTCTCAGACCTCTGTCTTGGTCAGTTATAATAATTTTGTTTGGCCTCACCCCCAACTTCTACCTTTCTCTGATCCATCCTCCTCACTGCCTGCCATAGTGGTCCTTCTAAAACACAAATCTGATCTTATTCAAAAACTTCTGAAGGGTGAATTGTATGGTATGTGAATTATATCTCAATAAAACAAACTAAGAAAATCTTCTCAGGCGGCTTTGCCTACAGGAGAAAAGCCCCCAGCCCCTCTTCTTGGCCTCATCTCTCACAGTGTACGTCACCACATTGCCTAGTGGTCCCCTGTCATGCGTGTGCTTTCATACCGCCATGTATCTGCTCAGGCTGGGCCTCCTGCCTGGAATGCTTTATCCCACAGGCCAGCTTCTCATAGAATCTTTCCCAATCTACCAGAGTGGAATTGTCAGTTTAGTTTGTCATTTTGTTGTACTTTGTGCATGTCTATTATGGCTCATATTATACAGTGCCTGGAATTTATAATAATTTATGCATATGTCTATTTCATATACTATAACTTGAATCCCTTCAGGACCATTTCTTTTTCATTTCTTAAGTTCTCTGCACCTAGCACAGTGCCTGGTATGAGGTGGGTATTCAGTAAATTAAAATATACTTTGAATGTGAGAATGAGTGGGGTGACATGAGACACTGTTATCCCTTGAGAAGGGAGTGAGAGATGACCTTAAGGCCCTCATGGTATCTTCCTTTTAGGACCCAGAGACCGGGATTGGCTTGGTGTCTCAAGGCAGCTCAGAACTAAATCATGGAACAGGAAGCTTTATCCAGAGTGGACAGAAATCCAGGGGTCTGACTGCTGGAGAGGTGGGAACTTGGCAATTTCTGGGGAGGGCATGGTAGGAATGGGGTGGGGAGAGGAGTAAGAACTGGGCTGAATGTAGCTTGGGAAGATAGGAAGGGAAAAGGCAAGTGGGGAGGGGAAGCCAAGGAGTCCCAGCTAATGCAGCTACCCTTTTCAGGTGGCCAGGTCTCCCTGAAGGTCAGCAATGATGGGCCTACACTGGTTGGGGCAAATGCTTCCTTCTCTATTGCCCTTCAGTTTCCTAAAAGCCAAAAGGTACTGCCAGATGGACAGGTCATTTGGACCAACAACACCATCATCAATGGTGAGTACCTCTCTCCTCCAGGCCTCATTCCCAGGGCTCAGAATCCCTGGTACCCTCAGTGAGCTCAAGGAATGACCCTTCTTCTTCTACTTCTTTTCCCCCGCAAATTATAAATGTCATACATATTCATTGTAGAAAAATTAGAAAACACAGATAAGGAAGAAGAAAAAAAATTATAGTTCCTCAAATAGGGGACAGAAGACCCAGGCGATACAGAAGTTGGACAGACTTGGTTTTAAACTTGTTAGTAGTATGTGACCCTGGGCAAATCACTTAATTGTTTTGTGCTTCCACTCCCTTATCTGTAGGTTGGGGATGATACCTATTTTAAAGGTTGTTGTAAGGGATTAAAATGTGATAATATATAAATAATTTAGCAAAATGCCTGCCCTAGGCTACAGTGAAGGCTCAATAAATGTTAGTTGAGCTGTTGTTTTTCCTTTCCCACTAGCTAGAGTAAATCATCCTAAACATTCTGACATATGGCCTTCCAATTTCTTTCCTATGCTAAGTATATACATAAGAATCTTTAATTATAGTTTCCATCCTCCCCCACCATCACCCCAAATGGGTTATACTGAGGAGAACATATTTTGTAGCTCAGGAGTATTCCTACAGCCTGTCTCTGGGAGCCATGTTTAAGGTTTTGGTGTATAGTAAGGAATGCCAGAGTTGGAGGAGGACTCTGTATCTTCCTTTCAGGGAGCCAGGTGTGGGGAGGACAGCCAGTGTATTCCCAGGAACCTGATGATACCTGCGTCTTCCCTGATGGGGGGTCCTGCCCATCTGGCCCCTCATCTCGGAGGAGAAGCTTTGTTTATGTATGGAAGACCTGGGGTAAGAGACTCCATTCTTTGGCCTGTTTTCCACACTTGGATTCACTTCTTCCTACCTGATTCCCTTCCTTTTGGCCTCATTCCTTAAACTTTGTGAGTTTCCCTAGTCTTCACTTCCCCCATGACTCCTTCCTCTTCCATAGCACCTAGTCAATTCTGTTACAGTTCTTTCTGGGAACCGTCCTCCAATTACAGTCCCATCCCACAGAACCTTTCATTAGGACTCCCTTCCTGTCCCCCATATATAAGCTTCCCTCTGAAATTACGATCCTCAATACATCTCCTGACCTTCCTTCTCTGGTTGTCTTTTCTCTAATCCTGCCTCAGTTCCCTTTGACTAGTAACCCCCTTCCCTACTTTTCCTTCCAAAAACCTCAGGCCAATACTGGCAAGTTCTGGGGGGCCCAGTGTCCGGGCTGAGCATTGGGACAGGCACAGCAGTGCTGGGCACACACACCATGGAGGTGACTGTCTACCACCACCGGGGGTCCCAGAGCTACGTACCCCTCGCTCACTCCCGCTCAGCTTTCATCATTACTGGTAAGGATTTAGGAAGGGACAAGGCCATTCGCAGGAGATGGGGAAGCTTGGCTGGACAGGAAAGAGGAAAGAGGTAATGGTGTGTAACCTTAAAGGGGCAGAGCCAGGAAGATGTGGGCAGAGGAATGTGGGGCTTGGAGCCAGTGAAGGGCCAGTCAGCTTGGGGTTGGAGGGTGTGGCTGTGAAAGGGGAAGCTCTGGCCCAGGCCTGGTCCTCACTTTTTCTGGCTCCAATCCCAGACCAGGTGCCCTTCTCCGTGAGCGTGTCTCAGCTGCAGGCGTTGGATGGAGGGAACAAGCACTTCCTGAGAAAGCAACCTCTGATCTTTGCCCTCCAGCTCCACGACCCTAGTGGCTATTTGGCTGGGGCTGACCTTTCCTACACCTGGGACTTTGGAGACAGTACTGGGACCCTGATCTCTCGGGCACTTGTGGTCACTCACACTTACCTAGAGCCTGGCCCAGTCACTGCCCAGGTGGTGCTGCAGGCTGCCATTCCCCTCACCTCCTGTGGCTCCTCCCCAGTTCCAGGCACCACAGCCAGGCAAGTGCCTACTGCAGAAGTCGTAGGTACTACTCCTGGTCAGGTGCCAACTGCAGAGCCCTCTGGAACCACAGCTGTGCAGGTGCCAACCACAGAGGGCACAGGCACTACACCTGAGCAGGTACCAACCTCAGAAGCCATAGGTACCACACCTGCAGAGATGCCAACTGCCAAGGCCATAGGCACCACACCTGAAGTGCCAGCCGCAGAGCCCTCTGGGACCACAGCTGCACAGGTGACAACTACAGAGTTGGTAGAGGGCACAGCTGGAGAGGCACCCACCCCTGAGCCTGAGGGTCCAGATACCAGCCCATTCATGCCTACAGAAGGGATTACAGGTAAGGGGGCCAGTGTGAATGAGGTTTGAGGTGGGGCATTTGTCACCACTCTAAAGAGCTGAAGGACTTACTCAGGACCCAGATATTACCCCATCCTTAGCTTTAGCAGTGGAGTCCCTTCAGTCTTCACTGGTCTTAAAGTCCCTTAAGTTCCTCTTTTTTTTTTGCAGAGGGGAGGTAATTAGGTTTATTTATTTGTTTTTTCAGGGGAGATACTGGGGATTGAACCCAGGACCTTGTGCATTCTAAGCATGCACTTTACCACTTGAGCTATACTCCACTCCCCACAAGTTCCTTTTAATGGCATGGAATAGATCTGGAGTTCAGGAAACCAGGGTCTTCCCCTAGGCCATGGGGAGAGAACTTGTTGCTTCTCTACCCATGAAAAGAGCTGTTCTCTGAAGGGAAGTTCAGAGAGCAGACTGTAACCATTTACATAATATTTATATCTCATTTTCTGATTAACTGTAAATGCACAGAAATCTTTCCCAGACTCTGACACCATTTCCCACCCCACCCACCTGGATCCCCACCCCAAAGCAGGCCTACCTGGGACTGTGGTAGGAACACTGAAAAGGGAGGACTGAGATAGTGATGCTTAGATGAGTTAACGTGTGTTGAGTGTCTAGGCCATGACCTGGCACAGTATGGGGTGTGATATTTGAGATTTTTAAAAATGCCAACTCTACCCGTGTGACCCAGAAGCAGTCATTTTTCCTCCTGGGCCTCAGTTTCCTTATCTATAAAATGAGACTTCCCAGGTCTTGTCTGATTCCAAGCCTGGATCCAGTAGCTCTGGCCCTACCTGGAAAAAATGCCTGCTTGGCCTCTGTTTCCGGGTGAGTCATTTGTCTCCTGACTTTTCCTCTTTGATCCTCTCCTGCCAGGCTCCCAGAGCCCTCTGCTGGATGGCACAGCTGCCTTAATCCTGGTGAAGCGGCAAGTCCCCCTGGATTGTGTTCTGTATCGATATGGCTCTTTTTCCCTCACCCTGGACATTGTCCGTGAGTCTTGTGTATTTTAGGGGTTGTTGGAGGGAGGCGTGTGTTGCCTAGGGTTGCCGAGTGGAAGCACAGCTTGAAAGGAGGAAGCTCACCTGGACTAGAATAATACCCATATCCCAGCATTTTCATTTGAAGGCAGGAGGATGGGGTTGGAGAAACAGCCCTAGGCTGTTCCTGTCCGTGGGCCTTTGGGGAGGACTGGGAGAGGAACTCCAGACTTAAAATCCTGCAACTTTGCAGAGGGCATTGAGAGTGCTGAGATCCTGCAGGCCGTGCCATCCAGCGAAGGGGATGCATTTGAGCTGACTGTGTCTTGCCAAGGCAGGTGAGTGTGCCACTGGTTGCCTTGAGAACTCTTGGGTTGACTGTTGCCCCAGACTCTGGTGTCTAGTGTTCCTTCCCAGACCCCCTGACATAAGGTGACATCTCTCCCAGACTACCCAAGGAAGCCTGTATGGACATCTCATCGCCAGGGTGCCAGCCCCCTGCCCAGCGGCTGTGTCAGCCTGTGCCACCCAGCCCAACCTGCCAGCTGGTTCTGCACCAGGTACTGACGGGTGGCTCGGGGACCTACTGCCTCAATGTGTCTTTGACTGATACCAACAGCCTAGCAATGGTCAGCACCCAGCTTGTCATGCCTGGTAGGTACTTGGACAAGAGGTAGGATGAAGCAGGGGAGTGGCAGAGGCTACCTGACAGGAAGCAGACACTGAATGTAGCTCTGTCTGGGATTCTGCTCGTAGGTCAAGAAGCAGGCCTCGGGCAGGCTCCCCTGTTCGTGGGCATCGTGCTGGGGCTGATGGCTTTGCTGCTTGCATCTCTGATATATAGGTGAGAGCCCCACCATCCAGCTCACACCCCCTTATCCCTCATTACCACCACTCACTCTTCTTCAAGGGAAGAAGCACAGAGAGGGAGCACCGTGTCCAGGAAGGAGCCCAGACTTGGAAGTTAAACAGGCCTGGATTGCAGGCTTGCTGGTGGCACTTCAGGGGAAGTAGCTTAACCTTTCTGAGCCTCTGAAAAATAGGAAAACTAATACCTGCCCTGTAGGGCTATTGTCAGGATTCCAGACCATGGGGTTATGAAGCATCTGGTTCTGAAGCAAGAGTACAATAAATGATGATGTTGATGACTGTTAATAATAACATCAAGAGTGGAGGAGTTTGGGTGAACTGAGTTTTCCACCTATAACAAGGCAACTCCCCAGGCATAGAGTGCCAGGTCCTCAAGGCAGGGAAGCTTGTAGGGAGAGAGGGGCATGGACAGAGGCTACCACAAAAACAGGAGAGGATGAACCCTGTTAGTAAGAAGGGGAGGGAGCTCGGATCCAGGCCAAGTAAACCTGGGATAGCGTTTATCCTCTTCTTTGGAGAAGCACAAATGGGCTGCCCTGGACCGTGGCTAACCAGTATCCCCCCTTTTCTTCCAATATCAGGCGCAGACTCGTGAAGCGGGGCTCGGATCTCCCCGTCCCCCAGCTGCCACACGGTAGAACCCACTGGCTGCGTCTACCCTGGCTCTTCCGCTCTTGCCCCATTGGGGAGAGCAGGCCCCTCCTCGGTGGGCAGCAGGTCTGAGTACCCTCATGTGATGTCATGATTTACCCAGGGGGGGACAGCAATGTCTGTCTTTTCCCCAGTCTTCCCTTGGAGACTACCATTGCCTGAAATAAACACTCAGAACCCGGTGCTGCTTTTTCCTTGCTTCTGGGAGAATCCATGTCATTTAAGGAGTGGAGGCATAAAGGAAGGAGGGGTACCACTTACTTAACAGATACCCCAGTGAGAAAAAAAAGTCGTTTTATTCAGATGAGGCACTTCAAATGTATTGTTTGTGGGGTGGTGTGTGTGTGTGTGTGTGTGCATATGTGCATGGGGAATAGTGGAGGTGGTACAGGATAATAAATACTGTGAGGGTGAAGGAACACTCCCCTGAGCTGGCAGGAGGGTGTGGCAGCAATGTACAGAGCCTAGCAGGTAGAGTCCAGGGACGAGGAGGTGGGTTCAAGGCTGTCTTGGAGGCTGAGATGTCCCTCTCAGCACAAGAAGCCAAAGAAATTGGAGGAGCGGGGAGGCGGGCCCACAAGCATGGGCATCTGGTTCCTGTGGGTGATCTTGATCTGGAAGGGAAGGGGGCACATTCAGAGGCAGGACCTGGGGCCCTGGGGCTGGAGCAGCAGAGTTTTGAGGAACATCATGGGGTTCAGGGTGGGTTATAAGGGTCCTAGAGAGGCCATGGTAGGAAGGCCAGGGGCTGAGAAATCAGGATTTGGGAGGAAGGGTGCACAGGGATCTTCGGGCCTCAGGAGGGAGTAAAGAAGCTGTGGAATGGAAATTTAGGATCCATGAGGGTTCAGTTTTTGGCAGCCATAGGCAATACTCACCGTACAGGGTGTTTGCATCCAGGGTTCTCCATCGATTTGCATGGGGAGGGTTTTTGTGGTGCTGTGTGAGGTCAAGGTAGATTGGTGGCGATTTCTTTACCAACCAAGTACCAAAACTCTGTTTCTTAGGTTGACTTTGAGGCCCTTTGTCACTGAGGAAGATCTGGTACAGCCCCTCCACACCGTCCCCAGACCCCTTCCGCTTTCCCGGCCCCGCTCCTTCCCTCAGAGCCCCTGGCTGGCGTTTTCCTTACTGGAAGGTGATCTCAGAGCACTTGGCCAGCCGATGTCCAGCATTCTTGAGCTTGGTGTAGATCTGGCCCATCTCAATTGCACCCTCCAGCCCTACTACTTCTAGCCGCTTGTCACTTAGATCTGGGGGTGAAAAGTAGGGAGATAGGTCTTGTAGAAGCAGGGTGCTTCCAAAGAGTCACACCTTCCCTTAGTCCCACTCACTCAGCTCCCAAGGCTGCTCCTCTTACCGGGTACGCAGGTTTTCAGGATATCAGGGTCGGTGATGACTTTAGCTGTAGCACCTAAGGCCTGGTTGATCCCATGGATGTCACTTTGTGGTCTCTTGGTGTCACCCCAGAGATTGGAGCCACCGTGCATGCTTGGGATGTTCAGCACTGCAATGCCTTCTAGGGACAGGTTGCTTAGATCCAGTGGTTTCCCACAGATCTAACGGGAGGAGAGCACAGATCCTTACCTCATGGCATAATCATGGACGTGACCCCTCCCTCCACCAGACAATGAACTGGGAAGGCTAGGATTTGGAGGCTAGCAAGGCATGGAGGGAAACAGGAACCGGTGTATCTTGAGAACTTGGGAAATCACAATTGGAGGGCTGGGAGGTCAAAGTATAAGTTCAAGAATATGGGGAGTTCCCGAGGGCGCCTGTGGAGGAAGAAACTAAGACACAAGAAACTGAAAAGGATATGGGGTTGGGTCTTATCACACCCACCTCAACTGTCAGAGATTCCTCCAGCTTTTTGCATGTTGAGAAGATGGATTCAGACGTGGCAAATTCGAAGTACCATAGCTTGTTCTTCATTCTGTGTCGGCCCCAACAGCAGCCCCAGGAGGAAGGGGACGAGAGGCAGAGGTGGGCTACATGCAGTCCCATGGGGGTCAGGGAGGCTTGGTTGAGGGGCTTCCTAGAGGTCTCACTGCCCATCTAAGTTCTGAGTCAAACTGGGCCACAACCTGGTCCCTGCTACTGTATGCCCGCACCCACCCCCCCTTCTCTCACCTGCTGTTGAACTTCTCAGGATATTTCTCTCGCATGATGTGGAAGCGGTGAGCAATAGAGGCATCCTGGGGAGTTCAGGGCGTGTGAGATCAGAGGCTGTCCCCTCTCTCAGCACAGAGCCCTCTGTCTCTTTAACTCCCCAGTTGGGGAGCAATATGTCCCATGTTCTTTTCTTACAACTCACACCACTGTACCCCACTCCTGATTTCCCTGTGTCACAGCTCCCTTACCCTCTACCTTCCCTTTCTGCCCTTCTCTGGCCTCTGCCTGCTTAACCCCCACCGTCTCCCATCCCCCCATGCTCCACTCCACTAACCACACCAATGGAGAAGTAGTTATTGATGATTTGAAAGGGGACTGGGTCACTCTTTTCTTCAGTTTGTTGGGGTATCACCTCCACGGACCATCGATCCATATGTACCACCTTACTTGTCTCTAAATCCTTGAGGATCTTTCCCAAATTCTGTCCCTCATACCCTAAGGGTGGAGGAGAAGACAGGTTAGCACTGAGCCCCAGCTCCCAGAGGGACTTCCTCTCAGTTCCCAGCTCCACAAATTCCCAGGGATCCTCTGAACTGGTTCTGCAGACCCTCCCACCCCTAAGTAGTGAAAGGGCAGGGTGCTCAGTCATGGCTCCCACAGACCAGTCTTAAGGTCAGACCATTGCTGACCCTTTTCTCCATACTGTCACTGTCATGGAAGGTGTATGTTCCCAAATGTGTGTGTGCACTTAGCAATAAATGCCAAAATTCATCTGGAAGAGTAAAGAAAATAGCCAGGAAAATGCAAAATGCTGAAAAAGACAAGTGATGAATATGAATAATCTCTCTCTTTCTCTGATGTTTCCCCTCCTCATTCTACCAGATAGAACACAGCATAAAGCAATGGTGTCAAAACAGGGTGACACTGGCACAGTGAATACGATACAAAGTTCAACAGTAAAGAACAGAGTTCCCAGAAATAGACTCAAGTATACACTGGAATTTAGAATATGATAACATTTCAAATAAATGGGGAAAGACAGATTACTCAGTGAATGGTGCTAGATGTAAAAGTCAACCCTTACACTGAAATAAATTCAAGATGAGTCAACAAATTTAAATGTAAAAAGTTGAAGCACAATTTATACTAGTGAACATGAGTGAATGTTTTTATAATCTTTGAGTGGAAAAGGGCTTTCTAAAGCATAGTACAAAACTCAGAGCCAAAAAAGAAAAAGACTGATCAATACAATTATATTAAAGTTAAAACTTCTGAAATCAAACAAAAGTAAAGAAAATATATTTGGGATTTTCAAAATTGCCACAGAATAAACAGAAATAGTTCTAACAACAACAACAAAACCCCAAAACCAACCAACCAAATGAACAAAAAACTTCTGCATGGTTAAATAAACACACACCTAAAAAAAGACAAACTACAAACAGGGAAGAATTATCTGCAGCACATATAACAGACTAACTTCCTCAACATTCAAAAAATGCTACGAATCCCTATATTTAAAAAGTCAATAGAAAAATGGGCAAATAAGCCAATCACAGAAGAAATACAGATGGCCAATATGCATATTAAAGATGTTCAATATTACTGATAATTAAAATAATTATAAATTAAAACTGTAAATCAGTTAACTTTTTGTTGCCTATCAGATTGACAAACTACAGAGATTGAGAAAACCAAGTGTTAATGAGATTATGAATAAACTGGCACTCAACTGCTGTTAATTGGAGCATAGATTGGTATTTCATTTTTGGAAGGTAATTTGGCAACTTTTATCAGAATGTCATCAAATTTTATCAAAACATATCATTTGATGCAGCAATTCTACTTGTAGGAATTTCTCACAGAAACACATGCACGGAGATGCATGTGCAAGGATATTTGCTGAGGTACTCACTAAAAGAGCAAAAAATTGGAGACAATCTACAGCCCATTGGGAGGCGAAGGTTATATAAATTATGCCAAATCCATGCCATGAAATAATGTGCAGCTATGGAAATCAGAATGAAATCTCTACCTACCAACATGGAAAGTTCTCCAAGACATAGTCAATGAAAAAAGTCTCAGGCCAATGTGTATAGTATGATCATATTTATCTTTGTTTAAAAGTTGTATATGTGTTGTATATGTGTGCATGTGAAAACAGAAAAATGAGTGCAAATAGAAAACAGTGGTTATCTCTGGGGAAGTATGTGGAATTTGGTGGTGGAGTGGGGAGGGAAGAGGAGACCTGTATGTAAGGACTCATATATTTTACTTTTTAAAATCTTTTACAGGGAAAATGTACTGATGCATTATTTGTGTAATTTGAAACAAATAAAATAACTAGTAAAATGTTCATATTCTTTGAGCCAGCAATTCCACTTCTAGAAATCTCTCCTAGAGAAATTCTCACATCTGTGTGCAGAGATAGACTGCAGCACGGTTTGTAACAAAAGACTGAATGCTACCCAAGTGTCTATCAATATACGACTAGTTAAATAAATTACGACATATTCACACAATGGAATGCTGTTCAGCAATAAAACAGTGAAACACACCTGATTGTATTGAAATATAATGATAACCAAGATGAACTGTTTGGTTAAAATAAGAAGAAAAACATCAGTAAATGATCTCATTGTTTAAATATATATTAGTATGTATCTAGAGAGAAATAGAGAGAAATCTAGAGAGAAATGGAGGAATAGACTCCTAAACTTTAGGAAGTAGATTACAGGGAACTTTCACGTTCTTGGCATCTATATCTGAAATGTTTGAATTATTTTTTACCACAAGCATGTATCATTTTTGTAATCAGGAAAAAAAAGATGAAAAAAATAGCTCTTCACTTCCTCACATTCCATTGATGGTTCAACCTACTGTAATTTGTCTTTCTCCATGCCACCCTGCTGAAGCTCTTTTGGCAAACTTGCCAATAATTCCTGCCAAAAGCAACGGTATATCTTCAGTTCTCATTTTAACTCATGAAACTCCTCACTTGGCCTCTAAAATACCTCTAGGTATCAGAGGACCCACTCTCTTTCTTCTTAGTCTCTGTGGTGAGCAGAA